GCGTAACTTCAAAACAATGTTGCAAATGGAAATGTTTACCTTTCTTCGCCATTGCAAAAGCATTGTGTGCACGTTTTTCAACATCTGCATCTGATTGTCCACTCTTCGGATGTCGTATCTCGTAACTGTATACCTCTACCCACTTGTTTACATTAAAATTAATGTGATCCCAACGTTGTTGTAAGGACTTAGTATTCCTCCTCTTCTAGAGCTCATCAGGATTTGCAAGTCGTGCTTGTTCGTACAATTTACCAGTTGCAACCCAAAATCCAGCCTTAGCCCTTTTTGTATTTTTTGTAACATTTCCCCAGGCGTTGATGTAAGCCGAAACAAGTGCGTTATCCTCTACTACACTCCATGAATTCCTCGGCATAGTCTCTTCAGGAGAAACTTCAACGACAACATCATCAAGATCCTTAGATGCTGCGCTTCTCGTACCTCTTCAGTTGGAGTTGCGTTTGTGCTACCATCTCCTCTCGGAGAATGGTCCATAGGTTGGGTAAAATGTTGAGACATGGGAAATAATGGACTATCTTGAGAAAAATGTTGGTGATATTGGGTTGTATCATTTGGATTCATTGGTCGTGGTTGATTACCAAACCATTGTAAGGCAGCTTGAAATTGAGGATTATTGAGGATATTTGAATCAAAAGGAGGATTATTTGAATTATTTTTAGAGTTTGGAATATGTTGAAAATTCAAATTTCTTCTTAAATTTGGATTATTTCGATCCATATTGAAAGATAAAATATAATGACTTTAATTGAATATGAGTGAGATTAATAGGAAAAGGAGAGAAAATATGGAGAAAATGAAGATTTTAAAAATATGGCAAATTTAGGTTCATTTTATAGAGAAAAAAAATATATAAACTTTGGTGTTTTTTTTTTAAAAAATAAGTTACCGTTTTTTTTATTACCGTTTGAATAATTATAACCGTTGTAAATGTCAACCAATTAGAAAATAACAAATGTCAGCAAAAGCAAGCAATACGTGGACCCCTGCCAGCCCGGCCGGCCAGCAGGAAGCTGCCACATGGCACTTGCTGGTCAGGTTTTCTTTTTAACTTTTTTTTTTTTTTGTTTTTTTGTTTTTTTCCCCACCTTTTCCAATCCCCTTCCCCATCTCTTCTTCCTCTTCCCATGGAGCATTCACCATCTTCCTCTTCCTAAGAGGATTCACCATTTGAACTCTACAATCAAGGGGCTTCCTCTTAAGAGGAGAGAGAAGGCTAAGAGGAGGGTGAATCCCTACCATTGTGCATGCTCTAAAGACTATATTTTTATGGAATATTAATGAGTTTTTAATAAATTAATATTGCTGGAATTTTATTTTAAGCACTACTTTTGTGTTTTAACAAAAAGGGGTAGATTACGCATAAGTAAAGAAGGTTTTAATTGGTTTTAATATAATTTTCAGATTTATTTGAGAGATTTAAATCTTAAAAAGTGTGCTGAAATTTTATATAAACACCATGAATGAGGTTTTATTTTTGTGGTTCTAATTACCCACTTAAAGAAAGAGTTTTAAAGGTTTTTAACCAAAATTTCAGCTTATTAGAGAGTGTTTAAAGTGTTTAAAAGTTGCTGGAAATTTGTGTAATCAAGGGAGTAATTGAGTTTATATATTTGGTATTGTAGGAGACTTTAAGTTGAGTAATTTCTAGCATTGTGGCTAGTTGGAAGGATGATTTAAGGTACGTTCGCGTACTTGGTAAAGTTTAAGTGTATAGAAGCATGCTAGGCTTTGTTAAATTAATTCCAAGTAGTATCATGATAGGTGTTGGATGGAATTTATTGATTGGATTGATGTTGGTGAATGATTTGTGATGTATGAATTATTTATGGTGAATTGGTGATTGAAATTAATTATATTGGCATGTGGATTTGAACCATACTTTTATTATTGGCATGTTAGAGAGCATGTTTAATTAAACTAAATGTTTAATTTGGTTTGGAATATGGAAAAAGAATTTTATTATGGTTCATATAATTTTTATTGATGCTATAAGCATGAGGAAGGAGCTATTTAAGTGTCTTTGTACACGAGGATTAAATTATATTTTGGTGCCTATGTGCACTTAAGGTGTTTCTAACACCGAGGGATAGGATTTATTGCGCACTATGCGTTTAAGGTGTTGTTGACACTGAGGTAGTTTAAAAAGGGTTCAACATTATATTTAGGATAATTTGTAAATTACCACCCACAAAATAGACCAATTTTGATATAACCACCCAAAAAATATTTTATTTTAAATTACCACCCATTAAATTAAAAAAACGCGCAAATTACCACCCATTTAGAATTTTCGGTGGAATTTCTGTCAGTGGGCCCCACTTTTTTTAATTTTCCTTTTTTTTCTTCTATTTTCTGGCTTTCTCATTCTCTTTCCCGGATTTTTCACTCTTCTTCTTCCTACCTTCTTTCTTTCTTCTTCCCAACCACCACCACCACCACCACCATCTCTTCTTCCCCAATTCTTTCTTCTTATATTTGGAGCTCCGATGCTAATTACAACGAACCAGCCACCACAATTAGCCTCCACCACACAAATTTAGCCACTAGAACAAAACCAAACTGCTACCCTACTCCTCCACCATACACAATAACCCCTGCCTACTTTCAACTTCAACTAACCACCACAATAAACACCCTCGACTCCACCAGTCAGCCTCCGTCTCCATCCAGCTCACCCACACAATCCGCGCAGCCACACCACCCTCATCACAACAGCCACGGTACCCTACAACACCAATAGCACCCCTTGCACCTCCAACCTTCTGCAATTTCGCACACACCTGACCACCTTCGCCACCTCACCTGCTCCACTTTCACCTTCCTAACTCCACAAACCGCAAGAGCAACTCACCATCGCAGCTCCTCCACTTATCCAGCCACCCACAACCGCTGTCACCGCGACCAGCACTAGCACCTTGCGGTTTGTGGGTTTTCTTCAATTGAATTGGGGGTTTTCTTAAAATAGGAACCCTAATTTAAGAAAACCCCCAATTCAATTGAAGCATGAACCCTAAATCGAATTGAAGATGTTCTTTGCCAAATTGCTGCAATTAAATCCCGGAATTGGAATAATTGGTCGCCGAATTGCTGTTTACAGTAGGCCAATTGGTGATTGCGGGCTGCAGAGGTTGCCGTATTGGTGTTTACAATAGGCGAACTGGTGGTAATTATGGTGGCTGAACTGGTGGTTGTTTGTTGATGTTGTTGTTGCGGGTTGTTGTTGGCAGGCGCGACGGGGCAAGAGGAGGGGAAAGGTGGAGCAATGGTGGTGGTGGTGGTTGGGAAGAAGAAAGAAAGAAGGTAGGAAGAAGAAGAGTGAAAAAATCGGGGGGAGAGAGTGAGAAAGCCAGAAAATAGAAGAAAAAAAAGGAAAAAAGTAAAAAAAGTGGGGCCCACTGATGGAAATTCCACCGAAAATTCTAAATGGGTGGTAATCTGCGCGTTTTTTTTAATTTAATGGGTGGTAATTTAAAATAAAATATTTTTTGGGTGGTTATATCAAAATTGGTCTATTTTGTGGGTGGTAATTTACAAATTATCCTTAAATTTATGTGGTCACTAAATGTTCAAGAATTAAATTGGTTAATTTGGTTGCTTGAGTGAATTGTAATGTTTGGTTGTGTTGTGTTGAGAGTCATCACCAAGTCTAATAACTTGTAAATAACGTAAAGTGAAAGAGATTACGCACCAAAACTCTTGGAACGTATATACCTTGAGTATGAACATATGGGGGGAGTTATGCGACTTTATATTTGACCATAACTTCTACTGGAGTACATGACGATGTATTTTCCTCTTTTTATTATGGGCAGGAATTTCGCCACTTACGAGTGGTTATTTATACTCTCACAGTTAGATCCCGTGTTAGTACCCCTTTATTGAGGCAGGTTAGGGGGAAACCCGTTTGATGCGTAATCAAGCTAAATAATTGGTCTAATTATTGGTCTAGTTAAGTGTTGAATGTTGTATGCTTGTAAACGGGTGCAACAAGGTAAGTTGTGTGTTGATAGGATGAAAGCATGTTAGTGTGTTCTTGTTACGCTTATGTACTTAGCTTTGCTGATTGTGTGTGTTGCATGTTTGTTTGGCCTTATCTTTACCTTGGCCCTACGACGACCTATTTCTAATGGCGAGTAGTGGGGACATGTAGAGAGAAGTTTTTCAGGTGATGAAGCGTAATTATGATGGGGCATGAGTGAATAGCGAATCATGCTTAGTTCTCATAAGAATATGATTTGTGTATTGCTTTTAATTATTATTATTTATGTTGATTGTGAGACTAACGCAAAAAGGATTTTCAAGTGTTTTGGTTTAAGGGCCTACAATGGTTCCAAGTTGTAGGTTAACTTCGTTTGACCTTGTTTGACTTCTACTTTTGTTTGGTTTGACTTTTGAAGTTGATTTGATTTTTAAATAGTTTTAAAGATAGTCTTCAGCTGTGTGTCTTTGGTAAATTGCCTTAGCCCTTTTCACGGTGGCGGTAATATCTTAGATTTTCCTTTTTCGTATTTTTTAAAAGGGCAAAACAGAGATTATTAAAGGAAAATAATTTCTAGGGTGTTACAAGTTAATGCCTAGAAGTGAAGTACCTTTCAAGATTGTTGAGAAGATCAATGATAGTGCATACAAGCTTGAACTTTCGGAAGAATATGGGATAAGCGTCACTTTCAATGTTGGAGATTTGGCTAAGTACATTCCGGATGAAGAACTTGAAGATTTGAGGACAAATTCTTTCGAAGAAGAGGAGGATGATACGAGGACGAACTTGGAAGATATGATAAATCAACATGAAGAAACGTTAGCCCTCAATTTGGACTCAAATCACGCAATTCATGGTCACTTCATGGGTCATCAATGTAAGGCTACGGTTTGCCTTGTAGCCTTCCTTGGTTTAGCTTGATTTCGGAGTCTTCTTTACTTAGTTTATCTAGAGTTTGCTTACAAGTTTTTACCTTAGCTTTCACTTGAAAGGGTTTTTCTTGTTTTAAGCACTTAGGATTTCTAATTCAATTAGGAATTGTTTTAGTTGAATAAGTTCCTAGATTGATTAGGACTTGTTTTTAGCTAAGCGAGTTTCTAAGTTGATTATGACTTGTTTTTAGCAAAGTGAGTTCCTAAGATGATTAGGAATTGTTTTTAGTCTAGGGGCGTCAATAATGAAGCTTGGAGTGATTAAATAACTAAATCAAAGTTATCCTAATGGAGTTATACAATCCGTGGGATTTGTTTAAGGGTTAGAGTTTTAATTCTAGTGGGTTTAGGATAGTTGAGTCTAGTCTATAAATAAGCGACTTGTAATCTTCGAATTATTCAACAAGTTTAATCATACAATTCATAATAATTTGCTTATTGCTTTTGTTTAAGTTGGATTACTTAAAGTCTTGATTGGTGGATTCTAATTTGCTGTTTTGTTTGTTTTAGTTAAAATAAACATCTATGTTGATTAGTTGGGTAGAATCTTATTTAATTAATCTAAGTTTCTTACTTAATTCTTGGTGAATTTTCTGTATAGAGTTAAGTTTGATTCATATCTTCTGTGAGGCTTAGTTTTCGGACTACAAATCACATTATTTTCACTCTCCTCAATTTCATCTTCATCAATGGATGCCCTAGATCAAGTTTTCGATCCTTTGAGAGATTTCGCTAAGGACAGCGTTCGTCTTGTTAAGCGTTGCCACAAACCCGATCAAAAAGGTATTTTGATTTAATTTTCTCTCTTCGGTTTTTCTTTCTTTCTTTTTTTTTTTTTCTTTTTTTTTTCTGGATCTTTTGATTGTAATTTTGATTTTTGAATTTGGGAATTGTAGAGTTTACGAAGGTGGCTTCCGTACTGCTGTTGGATTCGTTGTAATGGGTTTTGTGGGTTTCTTCGTCAAGCTCATCTTTATCCCGATCAACAACATTATTGTTGGATCTACTTAGATTGATTGGTAATTTTACTTTTCTTTTGTCAAAATTAGATTTGAATTCGATTTTATATTCTTGTTAAATGTGGTTGAATTTGATCGATTTCTATATAATCTGGTATTTGGATGGATGTTGCAAGAGGATTTGGGTTAAATTATGTGTTAAAGTTTTATATTGTTGCTGTTGATTGTGAGAAATTAAATGAGAATTGGGAAAGTTTGGAAATTTATTAGTAACGAGTAATGATGTTTGTGTTAAATCATTGACTTATTGTATATTATGGATTTGTTTGATCGTGTTAGAACGTGGGTTTTGAGACGGTTTAAGGCTGTTCTAGGAAAAAATTACTGACCGAAAGCTTCCAAGATTTGTGATTAAGCTATTGATAGATGTTTGGAAGTTGGAATAATATGGTTTCAAAAGCTGAATTGTATTTTAAAAAGCTTTAGCTTAACATGCATCAAGCTTGAATGTTTGGCGGTAGCAAAGTAAACCATTGGGGTGCACTATTTCATCTACTCGTTCAAGAAACTGGGGTGAACTATGGTATCTACCCCGTCAAAGAAATTGCATTGAATAATGTCATCTACCTATTAAAAAGATTGGTGTCTTAGCTTGTGAGTTGAATTAGAAGTTCCAAGGTATCTTGGATGTTATTGCTTTAATACTCGCAGACTAGCTTCTAATTTGGGTTGGAATGGATTTTGTTGATGTTTCGGTTAGAGATGGATCCTTAAGAAAGCAGTAATGTTGTTTGTTTTGTGCTCTATTATCTTTTATGAAGGTTTTTGTTGATACATTATTTGAATTTGGTTGATGATTTTCTCCCCTATTTTCTTTTCAATTATACAGAATGCTAGTTTCTGGGAGGCCATTGACTTTGAAATATAACATTAAGAATTGAATTCATCTTAGGGTAGTTGAACATACATCTCTTTTATCTTATTGGTGATTTTGACAAAAATTGCAACTTTTGCATGTAGAAAAGGTTGAGCCTGATTTCAACATAGTGAAATATACTAGGAAAGAGCTTTCCAATTATGCTTCTTTTATCCCCAGTGTTAAACTGTTAATGTATTAATCGCATGCCTGGGAAACTGTACCTGGTTCATTTAACTGCTTTTCATGAAAGCAATATATATTATAAATAGCTGAGGTAAGTGTTTAAAAGATGTTGAATATTACTCAACTTCACCAGATTATTCTTCCCACTTCATGCAATACTTGTACTGCTTTTTATAAATCCAATATGAAAAAGATCTTCGAGCCCAGGTAGCTCTACTGTCCTTTTATATAGAAGAATGATGTGACTTTTCCCGTATATCCCATCTCAGTATTTTAAAGCTTCTGTCAAGAATTTCATTGGTGTGACCTGGTTACATCTGAGTAAATTCTATGACCTGGGTGTGAAGAGTCTTTGTAGCAATGAATTTTCTTTTTGTTGATGTTCATGTATGAAATAGCTAAAATAGATCTACATGCATAAATACCAATTTTTTCTATGTGCTAATACTCTGTATTATACTGGTTTTAAGTCTTTTAACTCACCCGAGGTGTCTCTTCTACTTGTTCTATGCACCATACAGTTCTGTACTTTGTTGATTGTACCTTTGTAAATTAACCCCTTTCTCTTGTGCAGGCTGCAATTTCGTCTGTTAGAGAGCAACAAATGAAGAGAGAATGGACATCAAATGCTTCAAGATTTATTTTGACGTATATGTTAATGTAGACTAAACAATTTCTTGAAGTAGAACTCGTTTTACAGTAAGGATATATTATGTACTTTTGCCAGGCTATTCAGTTCCTCAATGCCAGTTCAACTTTTATGACCTACTTCGTATGCTGTTACTCTGTTAGTATCTGACTTTTGTGTGCCTGGAATGCCCAGTTTCCTCCTTTGCTCAAGTTTCTGGCGGGATCCTAAATTCTCAAAATTAAACTAAAATCGTGGTTGTAAATTGCCACCTCTGCCATATGCAGGGCAAACAGAAGATTAGTGCCATATCAATGTATGGTAAAGTGTTAAACTTGGCTGGGGAATTATCTTTAACAGTTCTAACTTCAATAGTATCAATACATTGTGAGTTGAGAACTCTTCAAGAACTTGCAGAATAAACGTAAAACTGAAATCATTGAAATGTGATACAATAAAAATGCTATACATTTCAGTAATTTAGATCCAATGTTCCAAATCTTCCTCCAAAAACCCCTTGATTGTCAGCTGCCTTTCGATTTAGAATTGGCAAATAACAATTCTAACAGCTTTATATCAAAGTAATACATATCCGCATTTGTGCAAAAGATCTACAATACATTGGAGGGTAAACTTTTGATGTGGTGACAAACTTAGTTACAACAACTAATTGAAAAACCATGCCAAAAAGAGGTTAATAGGATGCAAAACCAAGTTTTAAACCGACTAAGTAGGTCATCAGCAGACTGGATTCTCATCAGCATTTTCAGCGGGAGCAGATGCCAGAATTAGCTGTGGTTCAATAGAATATCCTTCCCTTCTTGCCTTCTTCTTCTCACGCTGAAGCCTGAAAGCCTCTCTTTTCCTTGCTCTGTAACTGTTCGGGGTTTTCAGGCTGTACTTCTCGTGGGTAAACACTCACCTGGCACAACCTTGATGTCAATTGTGTGAACTGTGAGTGTTACAGATCATACTGAAAATTGCTAAAAACTAACCTTTTTCTTGTCAGGACCAAACTTCTCAAACTTCACTAATCCATCGATCGATTAGAGCAAAGATTGTATGGTCCTTGCCGAGTCCAACATTCTTTCCCGGATGGAACTACAATGAACAAATAAATCAATATTGTGGCATACAAAAAGTCTAGTCAGCATATAAAGAATTACAGTCGCACTCAATGACTATTTCTCTTATGATTAGTTACTGTCTTACTATTCATAAGGATTCATCTTTGTGTTGTTTAATTGGTGCGCTAAAGAGTTTAAAAATGCTAACTGGATAGACAATGTGCAAGATAGGATACATTGCAATAAACATAGCACCGTGAAAGCAATTTCACAATGCTTCCCTAACTAAGAACCTACAAATCAACAATAAGAAAGTGTTCTTCACCTCACAACGGGACACCACCTACACAACAGATTTTTTTTATGGGCAAATCACTTAAATTTTACACGTCGGTTCTTAACAGACTATTCCTACAATCACGAATAACTAATGAACTCCAAATTATAGTTATTCATAGTTCAAACCAGCAAAAGAAGTGCCAAACCTCCTAATGAATTGGTATTTACTGCAGGACGATTCGTGAAATTAGCATCATAGAAGCTATGGCAAGATAATAATCCACTCATCTACACTGAAACAATTCTGCAAAGCTAAGTTCTGCACTATCCAATAATCTCTCCCATTTTCGCCTCCACAGATTTGCATACAAAATATGCAGTAAATTATTTGATGGGAAAGTCTTTAAAACTATCTCCTCTTTTCACAGCAACTTGAATTAGATCAAACAATACAAATAACTCAATAAACCATCACAAATTCTCAATCTCATCAAGAGCTATCCTATTTCCAGAAATTTTCATACTAAGCAAGAACAACAATTATATATTACTCCATCTCACTACTATACCAAAATTGCTACTACAAACTTACAAAGTACTGGCCCGTTTATTTGTGGGCTAATATTGGGCATCAAACATTTAAACATAAATTCAAAGCTTACAAAATTATTTACTCTCCTATCCCGGTCTGAGATGATGTTAACAAGACCCCACATGAATATATTATCATTTATAGATTATCGGGAATTTATAGTCAAAATTTTATAAGTTTGACCCATAAAATTGTAACGGGGCAAAAAATAAGGGACGGAGGGAATATGTATCAATAAAAATTTATACATCGAAACGAATTTAGCAATATTTAACATGATTTAATGAGAATTTTTGGTCAAAATTACTTTTTTTTTTTATCTGTTATTCTTTCAATTTTGTGCTACATCATACGTAAAGATAACTTTTAAGGCCACTACATCAATAGTTGCTCCTAACTTCATTCCCACAAAACCACAATTAAACACAAACTCTCCCAATTATAAAATAACCCTTTCTAATTACAACTATAATTATATCACATTTTCTTTAGCTAACCCCAAACCAAAGCCTTTTAAGGCCACTACAACGTCTGTTTCCCCATTACCATAGCACCACATCACCCCCTTGCCCCAAGTGAGCCCCGAAAGGCGGCCGAGGTTCTTATCGAAGCACTCGAATGGGAGGGGGTGACCCATGTGTTTGCCTACCCGGGTGTGGCGTCAATAGAAATCCATCAAGCATTGATAACTCGGATTTGGAGTAAGGTTTGATGATCGAGTGACAGGCAAAATCGAGGCGTTTGCAAGCCGAGCTAAGATAGTTCACATCGATATCGATGCTGAATTGTGAGCTAGGAAAGAACAAGCAGCCCCATGTCTCAGTGCACAGTGACATTAAAGTAGCATTGCAAGCAACCAACACCATCTTGGCACAAAGACAAAAAGCCGCGAAAAAGGACAATTTCTTAGAGTGGAGGAATGAGCTACAAAAGCTAAAACTAATTAACCATCCTAGCTCAGACAACACAAACAATGATAATGTATGCGAGACACAATACTACGACCTCAATATGTCATTGAGGTCCTAGACGAATTGACCAAAGGGACGTGGTAATAACCAAATGTTTAAGTTCGCTAAATCCATGTTTCTCACTGTAATAACCAAATGTTTCTCACAGGGTTTTTTTTTTACATCTGTGACTAAAGTGATACAATTTTATCATCCATTTCTTGTACCACCCTGAACAATTTCGCGTCATCGTAATTAAAGTGGTACATTTTATTTACCAAATTGCCACTGTGAGAAATATGTTTCTCACACTTAGTAACTGGGACATCCTCGTTTAAGTCCCCTCACCAATTGCAAACCTTGGGTGGAATGGGTACCATGGGGTTAATTGTTCCCTGACATGTTTAAATAAATTTGCCGAGGCGTGTAATATTCCGGGTGA